TTTCATGCCTAAAGCTGGATTAGAACTCACCATCTCCTGGTGATTGGTCCAAAGTCATCCAGCCAGCTTTTATGCCTAAGGTGGAACTAGAACTCGCCATCTCCTGGTGATTGAGCCAAAGTCACCCAGCTAACTTTAATCCCTAAGGCAGGACTAGAATTTACTGTCTCCTGCTTTCTATCCTGGTGCCTCTTGACCAAACTGGCTCCTAGTAGAGGTGATCTACTAAGATATATATTTTCAATTCTCCCTCTTCCCCAGAGCTCTTCTCTTCTCCAGCTGTCTCTTATCTAAGTACCAGGCAAATCTGATCATGCTCAGCTTCAGAAAGTATGTCAGTGCCTCCAGATACAGAGAATCTCTGTCCATCTCTCTCAACCCTGGAGCATTTATGTTCTTTGAGAACATGGCCAAGACATGCCTGCTCTGAGATTTTCTGCTTAAGGCCGCTTACTAAGGGCCTGATCTTCCAAGACCCGGAGAGAAATTTTGGGACACATATTAAGTGTTGCTTAAAGGAGATGAACTCGACGCTGGTGGAAAATGGCTTTCGTAGAATTGGAGTTTTAAGACGGGAGACATGCATGTAGAAACATGACCAGGATACTGTGTGATTGTTGGTGTGTGACTCACGTAGAGCTGCTCTCAAATACATTGCTTCACTTGGTAGAGTCAAAGTTCTATTTGCATGGTTCTTGGAGTCTGTTTTAACTTTTAAAGTGACTTGATTGTGCAAATAGAAGCTTTTGTCTTCAGAGTTTCAGTCGAACAATTTTCAGTGTACTTTAAATGCAGGACAATATTTTTCAACCTTAGCAACTTTAAGATGCGTTGACTTCACCTTGAGAAGATCTAAGTGGACTTAAGCATAAGAAGACTTTAAATTTTCATCTCAAATTTCATCTTTAAAATTTCATTTTAAGGAAACCCTTGTCTAGGAGCTCCTTACATTAACGTTTTAGAATTGAGGGTAGTATTTTATGGCACAGATCAATGCTTTCATTCCTTGGCTGGGCTGTGCTTAGTTATTGTGCTACAGGGTTTCCTGCCTAAACAGGGGGTTCCGCTAGAAGACCTCCAAGGTCCCCTCCAACTCTATTCTATTCTATTGGCCCATGATAAATGAATTTGCAGATGACACTGCAACTTGAAATGTGAAATTTTGATTCTCTATAACTAAAACATGTTACATAATTGACTTACGTTGATTTGTTCCTAACAAATTCTTTTAATGTGGTTTATTTACTGTTGCACATAAAATAGCTAATGGCAGCCTGGATATATTTAATAACAATTTATGTGTTTAACATCTTGCATACAACTGATTGTTGAAATGCAACCTTTTGGGGAGAAATTATCCCCAAAGAGGTGCCTTTAAAGTTGTTTGTAGTGTGACTTTTTATTCATTTATTAGGTTCCCTGATTGTGCTGCTCTGTTGGATTTACTTACTAGCAAAAATAGGATTGTAGCTTTAAAACACAACCAGGTTTACTCTAACTCATAGCTCCTCCTTCTCGAAGGGGTGTTTGTTTAAATTGAATGCCTTCCAGCGTAGAATAATCTGATTTTTTAGAAAGTTTTGGCTCTTGGTGGGGTCAATAAATCCATTTTAGATCTTCGCATTCTTGTTTCTTCTCTTCCCCTGTGAAAAGTATTTGGCTGTCTTGTGAGAAATGGAATTTTCTTTAACCCCAGATGTGGTATTGAGAACTTGGCCAAAGTTGGTAAGTTTGTTTGGGGCGATTTTCTTCGGTCTCGTTCTGCATTTCGCTTCAGCGGGGTCTGGAATAGGGCAAAGATTTAAATTTTTATAAGCCGTCCAGACTCGCCTATGTGCAAGTTGAACAGCTAAATAAATTTGTTGATATAAATAATTTTTAAAAATCTATCTCTCATTGTTTACACTCAAAGGAAATTTCCAGGCAAACAAACGCAAGTAGCAGCTAAACCAGAATGCCTGCTTAAAGCATTCCCCCCCCCCCCCACTTGAGCAAAAGGGAACTTTTAAAAAGAATTGCAAATGAGTTACTTGCTTTAAAAATATGGTTTTTTTCCCTCCTTTTAATGAGAGACTAATTGAAATGTCGGCATTAGTTAGGCAATCTTTTAAATTCAATTACCTTTCTATTCATTCTGTTAAATTGGTTTCCTTTTCAATATGTTGGATGGGTTTAATAATTATTTGGGAATGAACCACTTGGAATAAGTTACTTTTTTGTTCTTATTAAGAGTCATCTTGAGTCCTGAGTTCTGCCTGTAACAATAGATCTTTATATTATGCAAACGTGCTGTCAGTAAATTAGACTTTCCTTGAGGTTCAAAGTGTACTCTTAGTATGAAAAATACGTTTTCTGTGTTGTTTCCCCGTCAATTTTTATTTTTAAGAATTAATTTAATGCAAAAAAGGATGGTTTTTTTCTTCAGATAATATTTTCAAGAGTTAAAATAAATATGCTGGGTGTGTAAACATGCATAGGAGAAAGTCATGTGTTCATTTCATTGTCTATTTTAATTAGAAGAGATTAGCTTCTTCCAAGGGATGTTTTTCAAACAAAAATGTCCTTTTTTTCCTAAATAACTTATTCCCCACCCCTTCTACCCCCTCAAGTAACTTAGTTACAGATCTATGGGAATGATTTCAGTTTGCCTTGTTTTTAATTTTGGACTTTCGTTTACAATCACACACTACAGTATGGAGTTAAAGGCAGAGGTATTTTGAAAATTCATATTTCTCTATTCCAAATGATTGAGATGGCTCAACACCCAATGCCCAGATTAGCAGAGATAAAAAACTCCAGACAAACAAACAAGCGGTAAACCATACATTAATCTTCACCCCTTGCCAAAACTGTCAGGGCAGGTTACTATATATAAACAATAAGCAAACCTCAACTCGAACTGATGTTGTCACCTAGCTGGGTAACGAGATGTCCGAGCTCAGAGAGCACCACAAACAACTATTCCTATGAAGTCTGTTCCAATAACTTGCTTCGGTAAATTCAGATTAAGTATTGAAAAAGCTTTCAGCCTGAAAATATTGAAAGTAGTAAGAACCAAAGGACAACTTTGTCCCGATTTAAAAAGCCACTGCTTTCAAAAGAAAAGAAAGGACAAACTGAATTCTGAATTTTTGCTGATCTTTAAAATAGCCATGCTGGGTTGGAAATTATTTTTCTTTGTCAGGATATATTTTTTTGCAACTTGCTCTTTAGCAATCTCCCTCTGAGAAGGAAGCTTATTAAAAGCCTCATTGGCTCAATATATATACCAAGCTGATTTGTATGTGTTACAAATTTGAATTAAACTGAACTCAGCACAAATGTGTCCCTGTATCTTTTAATTTAAAACAAAAACAAAAACAGTTTCCTACGGTCATTTCCAGTTTGTTTTTTTTCTCTCATGCTGGATGCTGGAATTCCACAGCCAACTGCCAGTCCTGGGCTGGCTGGTTGTCATGGGAACGCCTCCCCAGGAATAGCATCTCTCCACCTTGGCTGCTGCTGGACCAGCTTTGTGGGCTCTGAGTGCCCCAGAGCAAAGGTTCCCCCATTGCTGTTCTAGAACCTTCCATGGAGCCCAAACCACCAGAAGTGGTGGGCGCTGAGATCAAAGTCATTGAGATTGTTTTTAACAAGCATTGTTTCTGTTTTGTATTGTATGTAAGCCGCCTTGCCATCTTTGGAACGGTTGAAAGGCGGACGACAATAATTAGGGTGGGATAGATGAATTAAATGGCGTGTGAATCGGTACAAGGGGATGGATTGATGCACTGGCCAATGGGGGGGGGGACTTGGTACTCCTAACGTAAGATGGGCTATGTAGTTCCCTTGGGTGTTTCAGACTGTGGTTTTGTCTGCTCTGGTCAGGCTGTTGTGGCTTATGGGAACTGGAGCCCAAAATTTGGGGGCTACTTATTAAACGGAGGAAGGGAAATATCTGATCTCATATTATATTTGTGTCATATTAGTCAGCGATCACCTTCATAATCTTAACTGTAATTCTGATAGAGACTTTGGAATATAATAAGTCAGAGATGGAATTGATGTGTTTTAGTAAACCAATGTTTGCTTCTCTGGGTTTACTGGCAGTCACAAATGCCTGAATTCAGACCTCACGCTGAGCCTTAAATCATGGCTTAAATTGTGTTAGATACAGTTAGCAAACTACACATAAACCAAGCAGACTATGGTTTGGCTTAGTAAGTAGCCCAGATCCTACCAGCATCAGGTGCAGCCCATTGATTTGAAGCTTAGCTTTGAACAAACTGTGATTAAAGCAAGCCAAGGGTGATTAAAGCAAGCCAAGGGTGTGTGAATCCAAGTTTGGAGTTCAAAAAGTTTGTCGCCCTCGATTTTATGGTGTTTGGGCATCCAACATCCTGGTGGGTGGATGGAGAGATAGATGATAGGGAGGGAGGGGGGAGGGAGGGAGGGAGGGAGGGAGGGAGGGAAGGAAGGAAGGAAGGAAGGAAGGAAGGAAGGAAGGAAGGAAGGA